CCAGCCCCAGCAATTCCTTTATGTTACTGTCACAATTTTTAAAAGTACTTTTGAAAGTTTTCCTCTGTGTATCACCTCACCAGCAGGAATATAACGGCATTTAGGATGTGTGTTACATACCCCTATGTCTTCATTCATCACATCATACATATATGTCTACCCGTAAGAGTGCTCTTTACTGATCATGGTATCTTCCTAAAATGAATCTTTTTAAAAAATGTATTTGGCGCAGGGTCTCACTACGTAGCTCAGACTCACAGTGATCCTCCTGTTTTCAGCCTTCTCGGTGCTGGAATTACAGGCGTGCGCCACCACCTCTGTACTCTGTGGCCAGCCCAGTACGCAGGCAGCGAGGCTGGTGTGGCATGCAGAACCGCGCGTCAAACTGTGGTCCCGGTCCCTGCTCTTGCCTAAGCAGGTGCTTCCTAAAATGATTACTAATGGCGTGGACAGAAGTGAGTATGACTGCAGTACAGGATCCTCTAGGTTGCAGGTGCTGACAACATTAGGGCCCGGACAAACCTAGACACTCACAATCACTATCACAGATTCTTGTCAAAGCAGCAACTGTGATGGGAAAGCACAATGCCACACAGGAACGGCTCTGTGCAACCCGCTAACGAGTTCTGCTTCAAGTTCAGAAGGAACACTGCTGGGCCAGGTGCTGTGTGGGGAGAGCTCTGTGCTGGAATTTACACTGCTGCATGCTGGGAAACTCCTTAGGTGGTTGCTAAGCACCAGGGTGAGCCAGCAACTGAACACATTTACTTCATGCGCTGTTTTGAAGTCTTACTGCCCAAGCTATTCCTGGGTTCTGTTGAAACAAACCTCCATAACGTCTGACAGACCAAATCTTTTTTTGTTTTGGTGGTACCGGGGATCCGCCTCAGGACCTTGCACTTGCCAGGCTTATGCCGCTGAGCTATATCCCCGGCCCTGACAGGCAAGATCTTTACAAGATGCGAAAGCAGCGCCTACCTGAAGGCAAACTGATCCGATGCCCGTCTTTGAGCTTCAGCCGGCTCCTCCGGAACTTGCCCTTCCTCTTCCTCACGTGCGGTCCCTCCTGGTTGAGCTGGAAGATGAGGATGTTGAGCTCGCGCTCCAGGACGTCGATCTCGCGCTCCGCCAGCTGCTGCTCCCGGCGCCGGAGCAGCTCCTCCTGGGACTTCTGCTGGAGGGCGGCGCGGCTCAGCTCCTCTTCCCGGGACCGCAGCTCCTGAGACAGTCACACCAGAACGTTGTTCTAGCGGCACAGAGCATGGCATTTCTGGTCTACTGCCCTACACCTGCATGCACCCTTGGCCACTGCACCCTGGAGCACGGCCAGCAGGGGATGTCCCCTTTTCCCTGCTGGTCACTGCTGGCCCAAATCCTCTGGGACAGCTCTCTGCCCAGGACAGTGGCAGCCAAGAACTTCCAGCACCCCACCCATCTAAAAGGAACCAAAGCCCCCGAATGGGTTC